TCCTCCCACAGACCAGAGCAAGCAAGGAGGCCCTTCCATCCTCCCAGTCCCATTAGAGGTCCGAAATAAATCGATTATATTCAATAGGAAATTATTCCTTTAACCCTAACATAACTAATTCTGTCTATTTTACTAGACTCTGCACTCCTTAAGGGCATAGAACATAGCTAATGGTCTTCGAATCAACAATACTTACACTCTCTGGCACATAGTAGGTACTAAATAAGCAAACATTTTCCTATTAAAACATTTTAGGGCCCATATGCTCTATTTTTTCCCATGAAGTCCATTGTTTATCCTGGGGTGGAAAAAAATTTAGCTTATATGTTAATAATAAAATTTTCTATTTGGTCCTACATAATAAAAAGATGAGTTAAAAGCCCATTTTCTATAAAAAACTTGGGTCTTCCGCTGATGAATGGGTGTCTGCTGGTAGATAGAGAGATGTCCTTAGCTGAGATTGACTTTTTGAAGCGGTGATGGCAATACCTACCCTCAGAGAGGCGGGTGAGTTCAGGAATATGATTACTGTGGAATATCATTCAGGAAGTCATTGAACTCTTATTCTAAATAGTGAAAACATTAAATAAAGGAAAGATCAAGGTACCTCATTGAATTTCAGAGTTTTGATGATATATAAAACAAATAACTATAAAGCTAAATTTACTTTGGCTTGTTACTCCTTTAAGGAGAGGAGAACCTGAAAGTATTTTTAAATAAGTAAATATTGAGTTAGGTTTGGAAAAGAATTATTAGAATTGTAATAAAGTTCCCCATTTTGACTTTTTCCTATTTGGATATTGGTCAACGAAGTAGAGTTCATAACAAAAATCTAAGTAGGGATTAATCTGCACCTGCCTCTAACTCCAGAACTATAGTGGTTTTATTTACATGACTGCCTTTAGGGAATTAAGAACAGATGTTAAAGAGAACTTTTAAGACCAGGATGGGAGAATAAGTTTGCCCAACACCTATGGGTAAGATAAGGATGTCCCAGGTGGGGGAATAGTGAAATCACCCTAAGGTGGGAGAGAATCAAATGACGTGAGTTTTGGGGGATACTCAGTGAAGTCAGGATGAGTCATGTGGTGCCTTCATTCATCTTCTGGTATAGTCTTGGGTAAGTTACTCTGAGTCCTCAAAGGAGTGCTGTCACATTGAAGGTTCAGACTACATATAAGATACTAGACAAAGATCTCAGGTTACTGAGAAGCAGTGTCATCCAAGGTTGGGCTGAGAAAGCTTAGTCCATGAGTTGAGACATAACCATCCCCCATCTTCAGAGGTCCTTGTGGAGATTAGAGTGAAACATCAAACACGAAGTAGCAGCAGATGGGGACAAAGACACAAACAGAGGTAGTTGTAGAAGAAACATCCACTGAACAAAGCCACCAAGCACCAAGACTGCAGGAAAAATTTAATCACTACCAGGGAGACTGAGAACCCATTCCATCAGGGGAAGGAGAGAAGATAATGAGGAATCAATGCCTTAATAACTTTACTAGGTGGGTACTTAGATGCAAAGGTTAAGGAAACAATAGTCTCATTAGCTGTCTACAATGCTAGAGTAACCAAGAAAAATAAGAGTTACGTCTATTTACTTAATCACATATGTTAAGTTTCTCAACAAATTATGTGCCAAGCACGGTGCTATGTGCTGTGTATAAAACACTTAGAAAAACAGACAAGGTTCCTGACCTCCTTGAGCTTACAGTCTTGGGCTTAAATATCCCTTATTAACAGCGCTGCTGGTTTTATTGTGGTAGACAACCCAAGTTCCTCTGCAGTTTTAAGATTCACCCGTTATGAAAAAGGTAAAGAGAAGTTAACGTAATGGTGGTGATTTTACCACCAACCTGAAGATACACTTGCTTTAAAACTAGAGTAACCTGAATTAGAAGAAAACATACTACTACTGAATGTAATACTGTATCACTTCTAAAAACACACTGGTTTAAGTAGTAATGTCCTTGCGTAGACTGAAAATGGAAATTCACTAGAACTCCAATTCTAATTGCACTTGGAAAATATTTGCAGCCTCCTAGAGTTGGAAAGTCATGACCTGGTAGGAGAGAAAATCCAGTCTCTTGCTTCTCTTGCTCCTCTGTTTATTTATTCACTCGTGTAGCAAATATTGATTGAGTACCTGCTACATGCCAGGCACGGTTGTAAGCACTTGAGATGCAGCGACGAACAAGACACACAAATCCCTCACTCTCATGACATTTAAATTCTAGTGCGTAGGAAAGACAAGAGAAAATAAGAAAAAGTAAATAAATAAATTTCCAGTAGTGGTAAGTGCAAAGAAGAAGCAGCAGCAGAACAGGAGGTAGCGACGGGGGAATGGAAAGAAGTTAGAGACAGAGAAGCAGGAAGGGGGTGGGAGGATGGGGACTCTATTACCCAGAGCTGCCCAGGAAGGCCTCCTTGAACAGATGCCTGAAGGTAGCGAGGGAGTGAGCCATGCAAAGATCCAGAATTACGGCGTGTGAAGCCTGAAGCAGAACCGGTGTAGCCAAAGCAGAGTGAGGAGAGAACGGTAGGAAATATCATGACAGGGGCTAGATCCTGTTGGACCGCGTAGATTTTACTGAGGCATTTTCATTTCTCCCTCTGTTTGTTTCTTCTGCTGTGTTGTGTTGTATTTTTTTAATGACGTGAAGCTGTTGGAGCGTGTCTGAGCTGGAGAGTGACAGCTCCTCTTTTTAGCTGCCAGGGCTTTTTCAATGGCATATTTTATTAGCACTTCTTCCAGACTGGGCTCTCTGTAAATTTTGTGTGTTGCTTAAAGCGATCCTGGACACCCACAGCCCAGCTTCCCATCTCATGCAGGTAAGAACTTCCCTCAAAAGGGGCCATTCATTAGACTTTCCAATGAGGGTTCAAAAAGTTATGGGGGACGGAGGCATTTACAATGACGGTGTGGCTAGAAGAGGAGTGAGGGAGCCCAGGTGTCCCTGTCACCATGACAATGGAAAATCAGGGTGTGAGTGCCAGAGAGTAGTTTTCACCTATGTTTGTATTAACAGGGCTTCCTCCAGGACCCTTTACCTCAGTGAGCAGCAAGCCTGCTCTCCTGTCCACTTCCAGGATGTACTGGTGCTTTCTCATCCTGCGTGCACACTGTAGCTGGGAGTGGTGTAACAGGCCAGGTCCATTAAATGGAATAAGAGTAGCTACTGTTACTGAGCTCCTATCAAATGCTAGTCACTGTGTACTTAAATATATTATCTCTAATTTTCACAGCCATTCCCTAAGATATTATCTCTATTTGATAGATGAGGACCCTGAAGTAGAGACAGATGGCAGAACTCACCCAAGTTCACACAGAAGTGGCAATGCCAGGGTTTGAGCCCAGAATTGCCTGACTCTGAAACTTGAACTTTTTGCCTTCTACCATGCTGCCTCCAAATAGGTCAAATGACTAGAAAAAGAAGATTTCAGTTCAGAATTGTCATTGTAGATTGTTTCCACCAGTTTATTTTATGTAGAACTCCAAATGGGTCAAATTTCATAATAATGAAATTCAAGAGAACCTCTGTGCCATTTTGTTATAGGGCAGCTGCCTTGGAATTTGTGTCATAACTTATTATGTTGGCTATTTTTGAAATAAGTAGACCTCAATTGAAAATGGGAGGATTTATCATATATAATTTTTAAATAAATAAATAATTTCATTTAATGAATTTCTTAGAGCCTGAAATTGCTTTATTCCATATAAATTTCATTAAAACACAGACCTATAGCTAAAGCAGAGAAGAGAGTATAATTTGAGTGTTATTTACAATTAAAGCTACTATTTTTCTGCTCACAGACTCTGGCTCAGGACTGCCTCACTTCTCCACCCACGGTTTTGTGAATTCCATGAAATATTTTTTCCACTCTTTTTAAAAAATTTTATTTTATATTGGAATATAGTTGATTAATGTTGTGTTAGTTTCAGGTGTACAGCAAAGTGATTCAGTTATACATATATTTGTATATGTATATGTGCTGTTTTTCAAATTCTTCTCCCATTTAGGTTATTACAGAATATTGAGCAGAGTTCCCTGTGCTATACAGTAGGTCCTTGTTGGTTATCCATTTAAAATATAGCAGTGAGTACAAGTCAATCCTAAACTCCCAAGCTATCCCTGCCCCTCTACCCTTCCCACTGGTAACCATAAATTCGTTCTCTAAGTCTGTGAGTCTGTTTCTGTTTTGTAAATAAGTTCATTTGTATGATTTTTTTTTGGTTTCGCATATAAGCGATATCATATGATATTTGTCTTTCTTTGTTTGACTTACTTCACTTACTATGATAATCTCCAGGCCCATCCATGTTGCTGCAAATGGCATTATTTCATTCTTTTCAATGGCTGAGTACTATTCCACTGGGTATACACCACATCTCTTTATCCATTCCTCTGCTGATGGACATTTAGGTTGCCTCCGTGCCTTGGCTATTGTAAACAGCGCTGCAGTGAATATTGGGGTGCATGTATCCTTTTAACATTGTGCTTCTCAGAGCATAACCATCTATCTCTCTCTTCTCTGTCTCTGTCTCTGTCTCTGTCTCTGTCTCTCTCTCTCTCACACACACACACACACACACACACACACACACGTCTTCTATAGAGAAATTAACTCTCCATGGAAGATTTTTGGGGCAGAATAGGATGCATTTTTCTCAGACCAACAAAACAGACAGGGGCCAATTACCAGGTTCTAGATCTGGTGTCTCACTAAGTTCTTCATGTAGATAAATGCTGGGAAAATATTCTCCAGGTAAAGATTTTGCCTCAGTGGCTATAGACTTTGACCCTCACTAAACTAGTCCTCACACACCAGTGAGCACTGGGTGACAGAACTAGAATATTCCACTAGAAGAACTAAAATATTACAGTAGAAGGAACCTTGAAAATAACCTCATTCAACCTCCATGACAAATAGAAGAAGAAACTAAGGTCTTGTATAAAGGGTTAGAGGGTGAAATGAGACTGGAACTCAGGTCTTCTCACCTTGAGGAAACTTCCTCAACACACCGTATTTTCTTTCTCCATGTTTTCTTGTTGTTGAATTCTCCTGAAACGACTTATTCTTGTAAAAACCTGAATTAGGAAGAACACATCTATATGAAAATCATTGTCCTACCAATACCCTGTGATTTCCCTGGATGGAGCTCATTTCTCTTTTCCCATCTTCCCAACTCAGTGATTGTAACTTTTTTCCTCTGAAATGCTGCAATGCCTGTGAACACTCACCTGTAGGGATTTCAGAATTCAGAACAAATCCTTGTTGAACAGGAAAAGAGATCAAGGGAATATTGCCTCTTCATGTGTAGAAATTTTATGGCATTTCTCCCAAGTGTGTAATATGTGTGTGGTTGTATTTTATGAAACTTTTATGAGAGCACTTCATTTCAGTTCTCCTGTTCCTTTTATGGTGGGCCTGATCCTACTATTTTTCTGTAACTGAAATTTTATTTTTAAATATTAAATTGTGATTATGAGAAAAGGTTCTTTATTCCAATGCACTCATGTACATGTAACTTCTTCTGACTTATGGGGAAGCAGGTCCCACATCAGAGCTTCAGCCCTGGGCCCATAATTTGCAAGCATCAAATGAAGCCTCATATTGCAATGCAAATTATAGTACCCAGGGATCTGCCGTATAATCACCCAGTTACGAGAAAGGTAAAGAGGAGAGGAAATTACCATAATGGGCCACAGAATATACACAAGAGGATGCTCAGAGGCCTATATGGCAGATTTCACCACCATTCGAAAGATATGCTTGCGTTCCTCTGAAAATGTGCTCTCCTTGGTAGAGAAAGATGTTGTTGGCTCCGTCTTGGAGAAACTTGATCTTCAGCTTTTTTGGTAGCGATGGATTGGACTGAATTATTTATATTCTCTCATCTGAACTGTGAAGTGGCCAACTAGGAGTTGGGATCGTTTTAGAAGCTGAACTTCAATGAACGAGTAGGTTGAAATATGGAAACATGGAAAGGGAGGGAGAAGAGCATTCCAAGAGGAGGAAAACGAGTGAGCAAAGGTGTAGAGACAGAAAGACCTGTTTAAAAAGAAGCACAGTCCCCCTGGGCTAAAGTGTGGGAGGACACATTTCTGGCACACAGCCATTTGAACTGAGGCCCCCATTACCCAATGGAGCTTAGAGCCTGGGCCTCTGGACCTTGATGAACAAGTTCATCTGAGGGGAAAGCTTTCTCTGATCCACTAAACATCTGTCCCTGGGCCAAGATTCCAGAAAGCCCTCTCTGAGGGATGAAAGAGACCTGGAACTCTTCCATTTTGATTCCTAGAATTTCTCCAATTGGCAGCAATCACAATTTCTTCTAGGATGATACCTAATAGAATATTGAACATAGGTGGCTCTTCCTCAAATCACTTGGAAATGGGCAAAGGATAACCCAGTGTTTCTTATAAGAAATATTTGTTAATTAAGTTCTTTAAATTCTTTTTTTAAATTATTCAACAAACAATTATTGAGCACCTACTGAATATGGAGATAGAAAAACAAATGACACGCTCCCTTCTTGGAAGTGTTGGAGATGACAATCAGATATATAATTTTAGGGAACTATGGAAAAATGAATGCTAGAGGAATGTGAATGAATCGCGGGAGCCAGAGGAAGAGCGCTCACCCCACCTAGGTGGGTGTAGGTGCAGAGGTCAGTGATGGGGACACCCTCACTGTCATATGAGTAAACACGGTTTGGCCGAGCAAATGGGCGCTGGAGTGAGAAAGAAACATGGGTGGGAGGGAGAGGGTATTCCAGGCAGGAGGGATGGCAGCAAACTAGCAGGGGCAGGAAAGAGCGTGGTGTGGGTGGTGAGCATCAGACAGACAGAAGTTGCTGGAATGTAAAGCACCAAGTAGAATATAGTGTTTCCTATGGCTGCTGTGACCCACTGCCACAAACACAGTGGCTTAAAACAACATAAATGTGTTCTCTTTACAGCTTTGGAGGTCAGAAATCCAAATTCAGTTTCACAGGGCTAATGTCTAGGTGTCGGCAGGGCTGATCCCTTCTGGAAGCTCTAGGAGAGAACCTGCTCCCTTGCCCTTGTCCTTTTTCATCGTCTGCTGTCAGTCTGCATTCCTTGGCTTTTGGCTCCTTCTTTGTCCATCTTCAAAGTGAATGACTCCAATCTCTGCTTCTGTCATCATATCGCCCTTCCCTGTGATTCTGCCTGTCCTCCCTTTTCCTTACTTCCTCGTTGACCTTCTTGCCTCCCTCTCATAAGGACCACTGTAAGTAGATCAGATCCACCCAGGTAATTTTAGGATAATCTCCCCATCTCAAGATTTAATTTAATCATAGCTGCAAAGTCCCTTTTCATAACATAATATGGACAGGTTCCAGGGATTAGGATGTGAACATATTTGGGAGGGTATGATTCAGTCTGTCACATAGGGAAAAGCAGGAAATGAGTTTTAGGAAGCAAAAGGGAATCCAGAAAATGAGGGTGCTGTAAGCCACGGTAGGAGCTTGACTATAATCCTGTAGTCAATGGGGAGCCATTGAAGGGTCATAAGCAGGGGAGAGACAGCACAGTACAAGCTGGACTGAGGGGGAACTCGCTGGAAGCAGAGAAACCACCTGGGAAGCTCCTGTGAGAGTTGATAAGAAACACCGCTTATGCCCAAATATTAGACAAAGTGCTTCCCCATCCCCATATAAACCTATGGAGAAGATAAACAAACTTTATATGTGAATTTTTATAAATCCTTATTAGGGAGTTCTTTCAATTACCTTAGTTGGAACAACAAACCGGTACTTGATGATATGATTAATGATCAAACTGGGACACTTTTGAGATGGTCCTATTGATAACTACACAGGGACAACATGCTAAACCAGGACTGCCCCTGGCTAACAGGGCATATGGTCGCCCTATGTTTGGAGAAGGCACACTGGCCTGAAATGGCTTGAATCAGTGCTGGTTTGAGGTGTTAGAGAGGCCTCCTGACCGATTCAGTAAAAAAAAAGGCAAAGGCAATTAATCGAACTGCAGTAATTTTTCCTGGGATTATGACCTCACAATACAAGTGTTGCGTGGTGTTATAAACAAGTGTTTGAAAGATTACTTTTAAATGAATATATTAAGTGATTACATAGTGAGGATTACAATACACAGTTGAAAAAACCCCAGCTGTTTGATGGGTTCTTGTGACTTTAGGAACTGTTTCCAGAGACAGGATCACATTTGGATTCTAAAATGCTGTGTCTCAAACAACACAGAATTGACCATGATTTGCTCTAGAAAACCATCTTAATTCTACGCTCCAGTGAGGAAAGAAACCCTGGTGTCAAAATTGCGCGTGAGGAGTTTGAATCAAACTCTTTCAGAAAACATGAGTGAGGATGTTGATTTCTATAATTAATATATTTATAGCTTAAGTGCTATTTTAAATATACACGTGTAGCTAAATTAATAATTTAAATATAGACATTTGACTGTCAATTAAATTTGCCCCCCTCAAAAATGGCTGAGTCTGAGAGAAGATTATCTCCCAGTTGAAAATCCAGGGGGCTCTATTTTAAATGCTCGTGTCTTCTAGTCTGACATATGCAGTATTTTGAGAGTAAACACTGTAGGATTTGTTAGGTAAGATGTAGGGTGAGGGAGAAGGATAGTCAGCTGGATGGGTGGTGGTATCACCAACTGAACTAATCAATGGCAGAGACATTTGTTTACAGGGATAGGGTGGGCAAAAGGGTACTAGAAGTTCATCGTTGGCAGTGTTGAGTTTGAGATGCCTGTTAGGGCATGCAGAAGATTCTTGGATATGGAATTGGTTAAGGATACAGGAAAGTTTATTTGCATTGGAACCACAGAGGCAAGACAGCCACAGAAAACTACAATTAAAAAGAAGCAGCATAGAGATCAAGCATGATGATACCAGAGAGGCTAGATGACCATAGGGTTTTATGTTTGGGGAAGTTAATAAAATAGACCTGGAATGTGTGGCACAGTACAATCAAGTGGCCTTGGGGTTTCTAATAGCACCGGTCTAAAGGGACTCCTATAGACATGAGCTAATACTCCACTGTAGTCAAACCTGGTAAAGCCAGCATGAGGCATCTGGTAGCCTGGGGCATGGTGAGACCAAAAGGAGTCAGGGTGAGACTAAAAGCAGTCAGGGGCCGTATCTGTAGGGTTGAGGCCAGATCAGGGACATATGACTTTTGGTTTCTTGGCTCTCAAAATTGAGGTGTGAAGGAAGAAATGGGGGGCGCACACACACACACACACACACACAAACAAGAGAGAGAGAGAAAGGGAGAAGAGAGAGCAAGTGTAATTATTGTCACAGACAGAACATTTGTCCCCCCCAAAATTCATATGTTGAATCCCTAACCCCTAATGTGATGGCATTAGGAGATTAGGAGGTGGGGCATTGGGAAGGTAATGAGGTTTAGATGAAGTCATGAGGGTGGAGCCCCAATGATGGGATTAGTGCCCTTATAAGAAGACTCACCAGAGCCTCCTCTCTCCTCCATGTGATGATATAGCGAGAAGGCAAAGGTGGCCATTTGCAAGCCAGGGAAGAGAGCACTTATCAAGAAATGAATCTGCCAGCACCTTGATCTCAGACTTCCCAACCTCTAGAACCCTGAGAAATAAGTGCTGTTGTTGTTTTTTTATGGCAGCCAGGGCAGACTAAGACAATTATACCTCAGGAATTGTTTGACTAGAGGGATTGTCATTCTGCCTTTTCAGTGTGTTGGGGCATCCCAGTTGCTAAAGAATGGGGACAGGAGCTCAGGGTTACCAGGAGCAACTATGGGTCTACATCCCATACTCACACTTCACCATCTGTGAGACTCATTGTGATCAGAGGTGAGCATCACAATCCCCCCCAACCCCTTCTTGCTACCCAGAGTAAGGGAAGAGCCTGCTTCTTGCCCTTGCTGACTGGTCAGAACCGTATGAGTTCCAAGACCTTGTTATGGAATGACTCTCCCTGAGCACTGCCCTGAGGTCGCTGGCCCTCCAGACAGGCACAAGCATCCTCTCTTTCCACAAACATCTGTTCTGTTGGGCCTCCAAGTGGGAGGGTGGGCGCTTGGTGGCTGCCT